CATATATATATATATATATATATATTTTTTTTTTTTTTTTTTTTTTTTTTTTTTTTGAGTTGGAGTCTTACTCTGTCGCCCAGACTGGAGTGCAATGGCCGCTCCCAGCCACTGCAGCCTCGACCTGCTGGGCTCTGGCGATCCTTCTGCCTCAGCCTTCCAAGTAGCTGGAACTACAGGTGTGCGCTACCACACCCGGCTAATTTTTTATTTATTGTAGAGATGAGGTCGTGCCATGTTGCCCGGGCGGGTCTCGAACCCGCGGGCTCAGGCAGTCCACTCACTTCAGCCTCCCAAGGCGCGGATTACAGGCAGAGCCACCAAACCCGGCTGGAGTTTTTAATATTTTTATGTCTTTTTTTCCCAAAGGAATTAAGCCATTTGCTAACCCTACCATTCATTTATTCTGTAAAATGTAATTTGAGAAGAGACTAATTTCAGAATGGCCGGCTTAGTGCTAGAAGCTATTGGTGAAGGAGTAGAGTGCAACTTCTGTCCGACTTACAGCTGGACTTCACTTCTGCTGATGCTGCAGGTGTGGCTTACATCCTAAAGCTTTTGGATCAGTATCGGGAGTTTGACTCACTTCACTGGTTCCAGTCTGTTAGAGAGAAATACCTTCAGGAGATAAGAGCAGTTGCTAAGCAACAGAACGTGCAGTCAACTAGTCAAGATGAGAAACTACTACAGACCATGAATCTTACACAGAAGCGACTGGATGTCTATCTACAGGTAGAGGAGAAGCAGAAACCATCTAGAAATCCCCAGTTTAACAAGTGAGATAAACATCGGTGTAAAGATTATACTTTAGAATGAATAGCGCGTAGTAGACATTTGGCTCATGTCTTAAAACTGGGTAGGTTGCTTCATTCAGTTTTTATGTTTCCACTAGGCCTTTTTAAAATAATAAAAAAGAAACATTAAAATGTATATTTTTGATCCTGTGCTATAATAAGTAATATCAGCTTTTATTTTGATTTTTTAAAATTTTACCTAGGAATTTGAATTGCTGTATTTCTCGCTGAGCAGTGCAAGAATTTTCTTCAGAGCAGACAAGACTGCAGCCGAAGAAAACCAAGAGAAGAAAGAGAAGGAAGGTCAGTGAGTGGCTTAAATTTGGCAAGACCAGTAAATCTCTTTAGTAGTAGGCTCTAATGCCCCATTTTATCTGATCAAACTTGTAGCTTCTCTTTCTTTTTGGAAAATAATACAAACTCAGAAATAAGTCTTTTAAAAAAGTAAAGCCTCTGTAGATCTTGTGTGAAACTGAAAAGAAGTTTACATAGTTTATGCATTTCACTTTGTGGTAATCCTTTAAGCCCTTACTCAGTTTCATCTTAATATAAATAAAATTTAACAAGCTTAGTTTTTCTTCTTTCATGGCTCAACCTGTATCGGATTAGAAGGAACAAATTAGGCTGGGTGTGGTGGCTCATGGCTATAATATCAGCACTTTGGGATGCTGAGATGGGAGGATTGCTTAAGCCCAGGAGCTGGAGACCAGCCTGGACAGCATAGCAAGACTTCATCTCTAAAAAATAAAAATAAAACAATTAGTTAGGCATAGTGGCACGTGACTGCAGCTTCAGCTACTCGGGAGGCTGAGGCAGAAGGATTGCCTGAGCCCAGGAGGCCAAGGCTGTGGTAAGCCGTGATGTGTCACTGAACTCCAGCCTGGGTGACAGAGTGAGACCCCGACTCAAAAAAAAAAGAAGGAACAAATTAGAGGAGGACAGCTAAATGTTGCTGAAGGCAAAGCTGCTGGTGACTAGATGTTGACTAAATGAGATGGGACGTGATTGAAGAGGCGTGAAATCATAGACATAGTGTCGCAGTAAGTGGCATCTTGCTGTCCTTCAGTAAGGCCCTGGAGATTCAGTGCAATGTAGCCATAGTAACTGATAGTCATTTCAGTGAACTTGAGTCATTATATCCATTGTAGTACTCTATGTAGAATGGTGGGTAAGAATTTATGCATTTTAAGGCTTAAGAGCATTGCTCTTAAGGTTTGAAAGTTAGAACAGTTGCCTTCTCTGAGGAACAGATATTTCTCTCTCTCCGTCATGGAACTTGTGGAACTTACATTTTTCTCTTTGCTTGGGAGATCAAAACTAGGCACAGCAATTAGTTGGCCCTTAGAGTTTCCATGTTTGTGCTTGCCATGTTTCTTACTTGTATTTAATGAAATGTTCATAAATCAAGATATAAAATATTTCATAAAACAAGATTTTTTATTAATCTTACATTGTGTCAAATTTTAAAATACGCTTTTTTTTTGTATTGAGTAGATGTGACTCATTTGGGTAGACCACTTACATGAAGTACCTTATTCCTTGACAATGTTGTGTAAATTAAATACTGCTAGCTAATATTACTTATTAGCGTATCTAGGCATTTTTGGAATCTAGACTAAGTAAATAATAAGCATATGCTTCAAAAGTGATTTCGGGCTGTTACCTGGAAGATATTCAGTATTTATTGAATAGAAATGTATTTGGATTTATTTTTTTAGACTACTGTAAATTAGCAAAGCTCTATGGAAGAATTTTGTCAATATAAACATGAAGAAACTCAATTATTGCTTAGGTTCTGCTAAGGCATTTCATGGTGCCAGAATCTTGACTCCAGCCTACATGACTGGGAAAATCTGGCAAGTGCATTGGACATTTAAAGCTTTAAATACTTTAAATGCCCAAAGCATTAAAATAAAACAAATAACTCTTCCACCTCATGGCATTGGGACTCCTCACTTTGGTCCGTTCATCTTAAAGAACTATATCTAGGGTCCAGGTTAATGTATCTCACTCATGTCCCTGGGTCAGTCTTCTGCTTTAAGACTTATTTCAGCTAAAGATTGATTAGAGATGTAGCCATGTTGCAGAATGCATTACATTAGTCAGCTAGTCTTTGTTAATGAAGTATGTGCACATGACATTTTGCACAAAAAACCAAGAATTTATCCAAACACTTATTTAAGAAAATAAGCTGCCTTAAAAAATACATTAGAGGCTGGGCGCGGTGGGTCGTGCCTATAATCTCAGCGCTTTGGGAGGCCGAGATGAGAGGATTGTCTGAGCCCACAGGTTTGAGACCAGCCTGGGCAACTTGGCGAGACCTGATCTCTACAACAAACAAAAAGCCGAATGTGGTGACACATGCCTGTGGTTCCAGCTATTAGAAGGCTGAGGCAGAAGGATCGCCTGAGCCCAGCAGGTCAAGGCTTTTGTGGCCGGGAGCGTGCCACTGCCCTCCAGCCTGGGTGACAGAGTGATAGTCCAAACTCAAAAAAAAAAAAAATATATATATATATATTTGAGAATATATACATGCAATATATACCTTTTAGTAATTATAAATACAAATGATTATTCCTTCTGAACAGTGTTGATATGTGGGTTTGGAGCTGTGTTTATCAGTAATGGCAGTGTACTGTAATGGCAATTTCTTGGCCCACCTGGAGGTACTGGCATGGGGGATGTCACAGTTCCTCAGGAGAAAGGCCCCTGTACAGTTCAGTTTAAGCCCCACTCCAGATGCAGTTCAGCTGTTCTCTCTTAATCTGATCTCTCTCAGTTCCCAGCCCCATTAAGAACCAGTCAAAACATTTGTAGTATTTAGTCTAGATTTTTTTTTTTTGAGTTGGAGTCTGTCGCCCAGACCGGAGTGCAGCGGCCGCTCCCGGCCACCGCAGCCTCGACCTGCTGGGCTCCAGCGATCCTTCCGCCTCAGCCTTCCGAGTAGCCGGAATTACAGGCATGCGCTACCACACCCAGCTAATTTTTTGATTTATTATAGTAAACTAGGGATAACTTGTGATGTTAGAGAAATATTTGATGGCTGCAGCCTTTCGCAATATGATATTTAGCTATATAGCTCGTCAAACTTTATTTCTTAATTCATTTTTAAAAAGTGAACATAAATATCCATTGTTATTTTCATTCATGCTTCCAGAAGAGACCAAAACAAGCAATGGAGACCTGTCCAACAGCACTCTGTCTGCTGATCCTGTTGTGAAATGATATTGATGGTATGCACTGCCCATATTCATCAGAATTGTATGAAAATTTTTGCCTGAGAAATGGATGTTATAAGCTGTTGATGAATTGCTTCCTGGGTCACAACTCTGGAAAATATTCAGATGTTGCAACTGTAAGGCAGTGCTCTAAAGTTAGGTCCATCCTGTTTTCAAAGGCTCTACTTTTCAAAGGTTGAGAGTGAGATTTTAAAATTGGATTTTTGCCTGGACTTTAAGGCTAGAAGATTTCTAGGAACAGTTATTTGAAGTGAAGTTATAGAAGGGCAAATCCAGATTCGTAACTATCACCTCGGATTGCCTATAGTCTACATGAGTGTTTGTAATTTCTATTTGCATAGGTCTTTGATCTATATTTATCTCAAGTCATTGGAAATTCAATGCATATACTATATACAGCCAGTAAATGCAAGCTTAACAGAAGAAATTGAGCCTGAAATTCATTAAACATACTCATCAATATTCTTATAAAAGGAATATATGAAGATGGCTTTGATACTAGAGGTGAGGCACAAGTGTGTTGTGTACCCTTTGTGTACAGTATAACTAATGATCATTCTTTCATTGTTAATTTCATGTGACTCACAAGAGCTGCTGATGTCATTGAAACATTTTATAACTAGTTTACGTTGCTTTGAGAACATATAACCTCCAACAACTGCTTTAAATTTAAGGTTTACTTAATATTCAAAGAAAATTCAGATAAAGCCATAGAGTCCTGTTTGAAGCTTCACTTCTCTTGTGGTTGAAGGCACTATGTATTATATCAGAAAAAACTGAATGAATTATTTCTACATCCAAGCTCAGGTTTCTTCTACATTAGGTTGAATTGAAATCTTGGTGATGGTTTGGGTAGACCTTTTCTTTATATCAAGTATATTCTAAGATGGCAGATTAAGTAACAATTGCACTGTTTAGGCTTTGAAAAAATTACCACTGTGAGAATAAACTCTAATGAAATAAACCATCCCTCACTGATTTCATAAGTAGTGAAACATTCTAAGTAAATTTTTTTCCCAACAAGTTGCTACTAGCTTTATTTTTGTAAAGGGATGTAATTAATAGTTACATTTTAATCATGGCCTTTCAAAAAAATATAAAATGATACCTTTACAATAAAAACAGAAGTTTAAAACTTTAAATGTAATACATACATCATTTTGGGAAATGCTTGATTTTTCTATTGCATTTGCCTGCTAAACATTTATTTGGATAAATCCTGCAAGTAATTCTAACATTGCTCTTTGATCCAGCTTCTGGAATGGGTGTGCAGTGCCCTGTCTGTACTCATTGGTAAGATTCAGTGTCATTTTCCAGCCCAAGATAAATACTTACACTGTTAAAAGTCAGAAGAAACAGAATATGTAGGAAATGTGTTTTGTTTATTATGTAAACATGGCTTAAGGAATTATGGACAATGGATGGGTTAAAGGCATTTAATATTTGTAATTCATACTAACTGTAGAAATGGCCCTAAAGCATGCTGCATAATTAATAATTTATATTTTCAGTAATGTAAATGTTTATATTAATCTTGCATTTGATTACAGCAAATTAGTCACTTTCCTAGCAGCAATATTGTTTTCTTCTGTTTTTCTGTAACTTCTCCGAACTCATCCCCTCTGATAGGGACAAAAACCGTGATTAGAAGAGAATCAAGTATTCTGTTTATTATCCCCACACATGTAAATTACTTATTTTATCAACACTAGTTAGAGTTCACATGCTGACTCCCTGGATGCCTACAATTGGGAAGAAAATGACAGATTATTATGATTATTTTACCATTCATTCAAAATAATTTCACTGCAGTCAGATAAATAGTTCATATATTTGAAATGAAATCTTGGGAATAATTATTTAAGTAGTAATAAACTGCAGAGCAACAGGGCTTCAGTGTATCCACACCTAAGTTCATAGATACATTTGGATGATGGTTTCCCTTGCCTAACATAGTAATGTTAATATTTTTATTTTTTCAGACATACTGTAATTTAAAAATTAATGTGGACATATGTTGTAAGTTCACAGAAAACTTAAAGATGTTCAAATCCTCAGGAATTAAGGACTAACCATAACATTGTTCTAATTAAATTTTGTAAACGATGGCAAGTTTGTTACTTCACTTGAGTGGGGCGACCCTCTCTCCCCGGTTCTAAGAGAATACAATATGTATAATAAAACATTAATAAATGTAATTTCAAATTTTTCCTTCCCCTGGATGTTTATGTTCAAAATTGAATGTCTTAACCCAATAATTTTTAATATTAACCTTTCTGAGATTCCCTTTAATGAAATAACATATATGGCATATCTTTTAAAAAATGCTTGCATGCACATAGGCAAAAAATTTCCAGTATAAAATGGGGATTGGCTCCTCTCTCTGTATCCCAGGTGAAAGAAGAGTGTTTTCTTAACTTTATGCATTATTGATCATTCCGTATCTTGCTATTTTCAAATAAAAAGAACCAACATGAAGTTATTTTAAATCCTAATTCTGAAAAAGGATCATTAGTATGCAGTGTTTAAATATATTAGAAATAACTATAGAGCTATTTGCAAGCAGGAGTTGAATGGAAATACAGTGGTCCCTGCTTAGTTTTGCTTTCTGCAATTCCAGTTACCCATGCTCAATTGTGATCTGAAAATATTAAATGGAAAACTCTAGAAATAAACAGTAAGTTTTACACTGCACGCTATTCTAAGCAGCGTGATGGAATCTCACGCTGTCCTGCTGCTCTGTGTGCCCCTTCTGGGAGGTGAGTCGTCCCGTGTCCAGTGTATCCACTTGTATGTGCCACCTGCCGGTGGGTCACTCAATAGTCGTCTCGGTTATCAGGTCGCCTGTGGCATATGGCAGTGCTTGTGTTCAGGTAACCCTTCTTTTCTTTTCTTTTCTTTTTTTTTTTTTTTTGAGTTGGAGTCTCACTCTGTCACCCAGATTGGAGTGCAGCGGCCTCTCCTGGCCACCGCAGCCTCAACCTGCTAGGCTCCGGCAATCCTTCTGCCTCAGCCTTCCAAGTAGCTGGAACTATAGGCGCGTGCTACCATGCCTGGCTAATTTTTTTTTTTTTTCTTTTAATTGTAGAGATGAGGTCTCGCCAAGTTGCCCAGGCGGGTCTCGAACCCGTGGGCTCAGGCAGTCCACTCACCTCGGCCTCCCAAAGCGCGAGATTACAGGCTGAGCCACCGAGCCTGGCCCTTATTTTCTTTAATATCCCAAAGTGCAAGAGTAGTTATGCTGGCAATTTGAATGTGCTAAAGAGAAGCTATAAAGTGCATCCTTTAAAGTAAAAAGATGAAAGCTTTCAACTTAATAAGGAAAGAAAGGTCATATGCAGAGGTTGCTAAGATTCATGGTAAGAATGAATCTTCTGTCTGAAACTGTAAACAGTATTCATTATAATTGTTCTATATTATTGTTAATCTCTTATTTTTACTTGCTTAATTGATAAATTAAACTTTATCATATACGTATATGGAAAAACAGTATATGTATGGTTGTGCCATCTGTGGTTTCAGGCATCCACTGGGGTCTTAGAATGAATCCCCTTGGATAAGCAGGGATTGCTGCACTAATAAACAGCCCCTCCCCTCCCCTCGAAGGCTAAGGTAGGAGGATCACTTGAGGCCAGGAGCTCAAGACCAGCCTGGGCTACATAGTGAGACCCCCATCTCTATAAAAATACTTTAAAAATTAGCCGGGCATGGTGGTGCACACCTATAGTCCCAGCTACTTGGGTAGTTGAGGGGGAAAGACTGCACTTCAGCCTGAGCAACAGATCGAGACTCTGTAGAAATAAATAAAGATTGAAAAAGAAGGTAGTCTAATGGGTGTATGATGGCTAAACCAAAACTGGAAAGTGGAAACTGGTGAGGATAGCTGACTTCTGAAAAGGTCCCATTTCTACCTTCCCACCTTTGATTTACTACACTTGCCAATTTTTTTTTTATTTTGAGTTGGAGTCTCATCTGTCACCCAGACTGGAGTGCAGTGGCCGCTCCCGGCCATCGCAGCCTCGACCTGCTGGGCTCCGGCGATCCTTCCGCCTCAGCCTTCCGAGTAGCCGGAATTACAGGCATACGCTGCTACCACGCCCGGCTGATTTTTTGATTTATTGTAGAGATGAGGTCTCGCTGCCCAGGAGGGTCTCGAACCCACAGGCTCAGGCAATCCACTCACCTCAGCCTCCCAATGGTGCGGGATTACAGGCTGAGCCACCAAGGCCGGCTACATTTGCTAATTTTTGAGTGCTTTAAATAAGCATTAATACACATTTCAGTAAGTAGTGGAAAAGGACAAGTCCCCACTATTTTTTTTTTTTTTTTTTGAGTTGGAGTCTCACTCTTGCCCAGACTGGAGTGCAGTGGCCGCTCCCGGCCACCGCAGCCTCGACCTGCTGGGCTCCAGTGATCCTTCTGCCTCAACCTTTCAAGTAGCTGGAACGACAGGTGTGCGCTACCACGCCCCGGGTAACTTTTGATTTATTGTGGAGATGAGGTCTCGCCAAGTTGCCCGGGTGGGTCTCGAACCTGCGGGTTCGGACAATCCACTCACCTCAGTCTCCCAAGGCACGGGATTACAGGCTGAGCCACTGAGCCCAGTGTCTCCACTATTTTTAAATTTTAAAATGATTTTTAGAAATGTGCAGTGTGTGTAAAGTAGCATATAATGGGTATGAACTACTTAAATGATGAAAGCACTTGGGAAGCTGCCCCACTGGTTAAGAGTGATCCTGGCCCCAGCCCAGAAGCTCTTGCAAGTTTCTGCTCCAGAAGCAGCTACTTGGGGCTCAGGGTAACTGTGCCCTGGCTCGTCTCTAGCTTACAACAGTCTGTATTTCCCTAATAATGTGGGGGCGTTTTGCATGTTTTAAAAGCAATGTAAATGGGATCTTTTTTTACTTCATTATTGATGTTCATCCATGTTGGTGCATATGACTATAGCTGATTTAGTTTTACTTTTCTAGTATTGCTGCTACATAAGTACAGCTATTTTTTCTGAAGACATTTAGGCTCTTTTCACATTGGGAGTACTGTGAACAGTGCTACTGTATTCGTTGTATGTGTCCCTGGGTACATGTGTTTAGGGTTTCCTGAGGGAGCGTACCCACCCGTGAAACGGCTAAGCAGTGGTCGGGCAGGTGCACTTGCAAGTTCACGCGATAGAATGCCAGACTTCTCTCATTCCAGCACTGGGTGAGATCCTCATTGTTCCATTCTGACCAGCAGCTGAGCTTTTGCAGTCTAGTGAGTAGAAAATGTCTCTGGTTTAAATGTGCATTTTCTTGATTACTATATGTGACATTTCTGTTTATGAGCCCATGAAATGCTTTCATGATTTTTTTTTCAATTTTCAATTTATCTTTCTGATTATAGGAATATTTTATATGTTGTGGACACTAACTTTTTGTTGGTCTCTGTGTCATTCTTTCCATGGTGTTTTTTTAATGAAATTTGAAAACTGTCTCCTTATGTTTTCCTCATGATTTACATACTTTGTGTCTTATTTAAGCCACATACAGTTTTAATAGTGTTTTGATTTCCAACCTAATAATTGCTCAGGATTTGAGATTCTACCCCTCTTCCCAAGTCTAAGCAAGAACACAAATATTTGAGGGTCTGTGACTCTCATAGCCTGCCAGAGAAAGAACCAATTGATTTAATACTTAGACGTTTGTAAGGCATTAGAGAACAGTGAACTAATGATTTTATGGTATACAGAATAAAATTCCATATTGGCTTAGACCAGCTCACAGTATCTCTCAGAGTGTACACATAGGACTGGATTCTTCAGATGAGCCCTATGACGTTTACCTAATTTTGAAGGTTGTAAAAGTTATTTTATTGATCCACCATTTTAAAATTAATACCTTTATAAAACTTAGCAATAAGATCACATTATTCCACTCATGTTGAATAGTTTTTTTAAAGTGTATCTATACTTTGATTTCGTTGTGCCCCAGCTTTTTTTTTTTTTTGGGAATTAACTGTGTTAAAGATGATATAGAACTGGACCTGCCTGGGCAACTTGGCGAGACCTCATCTCAACAATAAATCAAAAATTAGCCGGGTGTGGTAGTGCGTGCCTGTAGTTCCAGCCACTTGGAAGGCTGAGGTGGAAGGATCGCCGGAGCCCAGCAGGTTGAGGCTGCGGTGACCGGGAGCGGCCACTGCACTCCAGTTTGGAGACAGAGCGAGACTCCAACTCAAAAAAAAAAAAAAAAAAAAAAAAAGATATAGACTGACCTTAGTTTTCTTCTAGAGATGCTCTAGAAGATAAACACATCAAGCAAAAGAACAGAATGATAATTTTTATTGCTAGGTTAATTTATTACAAAGATAGTCTGTTGAACTTGGTTACAATTAAACACACTGTACCAATTCATTCCACTCATTTCATCGGTAGACGGAGGGATGGAGAAGTGGGCTGAGATTCCAGGACACAGATGTACCAGGGCAGAAACAGGAATTTTACACCGAGCCTCATGACCAGCTGTGCTTTGAGTTTTAAAATGAATTGGTTCCGTCCTTGAGGAGGGTCTGGCTCAGAAGAAACAGGAACTGGTAGAGCTGCACTCTGTCCACAGTGATCTGCCACTAGAAACAGGCATACCTAGGAGGACCTTAAACTTCTGAATGCTAGTTCAGTATGGCTCCACTGTGAAACGTCTCTTGTGGTGCTCATCTGCTAGTCTTTTTGTTGCATGATTTGTGGAACAGTTATCAAAACTAAACTTGCACCTCTACTAGTGCTTGGACCTCAAAGCAGTGCTTGTCACCTAACTGCACGAAGTAATTGGGTCCAATTATGAGACAAGCTAGATTATAAATACACAGTTTTCAGAATGACAGGCACTTGAAGCTCATTAAGTAAAATACAAAAATAGATTATATTAATAGGAAATATTTAGTGCTTATCATATTGTAACTTTGGGCTTTTGACATTTTTAAAAAGAAACTACAAAGAGATGACATTCAAATAAAGTGAACAATGCATTTTTCATAAATGCATGTTCTGAACGCTGAACAGTGCAGTCTAAGGAATGGACTTACCACAAAGCACCTAAAATAACATTTGTCGATGGGTAGGAATGTTGTCCACCATTTCTTACTGTTTCCCTCCCAAGTCTCAGTGTCAAGGCATCGAGAGTTCACTCCACAAGCGACTGTCAGCATTCTGAAACCCGTTCATTGTGCCTGCGTAGCAGAGAAATGAATACCCTTAAGGAGGCAGCTCTCCTTCCTGTGTGCTCTTCCCCCACAGGCACCAGTGAGTTATGCTTCAGATTCTGCGCCTCTGCTTTCACTTGGACTTCCGTCACTGTCATCTGGCTGATCGTTTAGTAGTACATATTTTCCGTCGCTGGTTAGAGGTATGGACAGCATTAACTGAGCCAGTGCTTCAGGATCCTGGTCATGAGAGTTGAAGAGGGAGAAAAGAAAAGGCTTAAGATGCACTTAAAACCCTTGGGCTTGGTCTTCAGCATGCTCAGTGATCTATCTAGTCTTCTTGCTGATCCTGTTCTGTGTGCCTTCAGCTGGGTCTCTTTACTTCTCAAAGAGCTCTGGCATGTTGCTGCCTCTAGAATCTAGACCATGTTTTTCCTTTCGGCCAAAATATTGTTTACGTGGCCAGTTCACAATCATCTTCCTAAAAAGGAACTTTCTTCATAAAACCTTGGTCTTCTGTATCTTTCAACCCTCTTTTGTTTCTCTTTTCATCTATACCAGGAGTTGCCAAACTATGGCTCACCACTTGTTTCTGTAACTAAAGTTTTACTGGAACGTGGTTGTGCCCATTCACTGACATACCGTCTATGGCTGCCCGTGTGTGAGCAAAGCTGAACAGTTGCAACAGAAATCGTAAGCCTAAAATGCAAAAAGGTCCTTTACAGAAAAAGTCTGCTGACCTCTGTCCCATGCCATCACATACTAACTTGCAGTGCTTGCCATTATTTCACATGCTGGCCACAGTCCTCCGTCTTCGTGACCTCCCCAGCAGACTGAACTGCATTAATATGGCAGCCACTGGCTACATGTTACTATTTACATTTAAATTAAATTTAAAATCAGTCACACTAGCCAAATTCAATCAACATATTAAATAGTTTAGATATAGATCATTTCCATTACTACAGGAAGTTCTAACAGGACAGTGCTGAACTCGAAGCCCCCTGGGGGCAGGGACCATGTCTGTCTGGTTCACTACTGTAATTCTAGGGTTTTTCTTATACAAATTAGGCTCTCAATTGTACTCAATCAGTATTAGTAAGCAAGAAAACAGGAAATTGGAGCTGCAGTAGTGATGTTAAGTTCCCATGTGTGATCAGTGAACACGGAACCAACTGATCAAAAGTGTCTGCTGTTTAGAATACGTAAAAGGAAGCCTAAACCTGGCCAGTGTCCAGTGAGCACCACTTTTCTTGAGAGCAATCTGAGCATGTGCACAGATGTCTTGAATAGTTGTTAAACCAGCACTAGAATGCACCTTACCTTCTGAACCTCAATAATTTCTTTTCCCAAATTAATAGCATAACATATCTGCAAAAGACAAGAAAAGAGGTGTTTGGCAAAGATAGAAAAGGGTAAAAAAAAATTTTTTTAATGTGATATGGGAGTACATTGAGGTTACTGCTCATATCCATATGGGGAACAGGACCTGGTTGCAGGAGATCGATCACATAGGGCCCGGAGCATTAGTGACTTCCTGCTGCTCGTGTGTGCTGTACAAGAAATATTCCAGGCAAGTGAAACCTAAATTATACTAGTGTCTAAAACAGGATTAAAGTAGGATTTTATTTGCTTTCTTAACTGTATTTAGCCACACCATGTTCATATACACAGTGGCAAATGGATACTTACTGAAAGAATTGGTTGGTTGTGATGAATTCCTTTTTACATTTTTTTATCTTAAAGATGTGGGGTACAAGTCAGAAATGGGTACCTAGGTGGTTTACGTACAGGTGAAGCTTGGGCCTCCCACTGGACCTCACTTCACCTGGATTAGGATCAGGCACCCGTATTGATGCTATGTGCTCCCCCGCCCCCGCAGTGTTCTGCTACTACCAACAATGCCTTTCTCGTACTATTATGAGTTGTGATGAATTCTAAGTGTAGATGTAGTGACAAAGTTTTTCTTACTAAACAAACAGCTTAGATGCACCTGCCTAATGTCTTCTTCCTTGGTTGCTCTCTGAGACTAAGTTATTCTCCATTGTAGATTTTGCTTTAATTTTTAAAAGAACAAATTGGCAACTCCTTCCAACATTTCCTGATAGCTCAACAAAACAATTCTGTCTTGCCGTTAAAGTTCATCCTCATTCACTCTATTCTGGTTGATACATATTTTTCCACAAGGAAATTTTAATCTGATTAGTTTTCTTTCAGTGGGGCCTCCTAGGAGGTATTATCTGAACTCCTGGATGGAGATATGCAGAATAATCAACTAAATATCCAGAGGGATAGTTCATAAAAATCCTTTTAAAATGGACTTGTTTGGACTGAGATATTATGGAATCTATTTTAGTATTTTTAAAAAACCCAAAAAACAAGACCTTTTCGCCTTCTGAGTTGCTTTCAAAGATATATGTGCTCAGAGACTCTTCTCCTGTGGATTCAGGAACGCGGACGACAAAGCCAACCAGTCTCTTGTTTTCTTGATGAGCGGCAAACTGTGTGACACTGGTGAGTTCAAACTGAAGGAAAACAAAAAGGAACAGGTCAGACAGCAACTAGAATTTTAAACCTGACAAGGTTATTCTTTACAGAAAAGTCACGAGAAAAAGTGTCCTGCTAGTGGAGGTCATTTAAACTGGCAGATAAGCACCCAGGTTGTGCTGAAGGTAAACGCAAAGGTGAGTTAAGGAGTAATCACTAATGTTAGCCTGTATGAGGTACTTACATTGGCCCTTGAGACTTGAGTCTGAGGATCTATCAACCTGAAATTTTAAGAGATTCATTACATCACAAATGTTGGATAAACTTACATTCTTAGACGAGTTTGTAGACGTTAAGAATAAATTGCACAAATACCCCCAACTATGAAAAACAAGGCCTGCCTGAGGGTGAAGCAAGAGTTCTATGTAACCATGTGCCGTGGTTTCTGGCTTTGAACCTGGGTGAGCTCAGGGTCTCTCTAGTGGAAGATTATACAGCAAATGGAAGAATTAGTTTCACAGAACATTGGTACTTCACAAAGGCAGCACTGTGATGCTCAGAAGGTCTGCTGTGTCAGATGGGAGGAGGGTCATACTCTGCGGCCGCCTCCCCACCGTTCACTGACTGTTCCCTGAAGTGCTGGATCAGCTTACTCAAAATTAAACATTTTTAAAGAGAAAAATACGGGGCAGGGGTGAGGGGACAGTAAAGAGATTCTGGCAAAACTCTTATAAGTTTGGGTATAAGAGAAGTAATGTTTAACTTTAAGAAGGTATTCCAGAATATATTCTTTAACAATATTTTAAACATCGTCTAATCAGGCTTATGTATCTTGGAAAATGAGCTCTAAAGACAATTTACTGTGATCTTAAAAATATGAATTTCTGTTACATTCTACTTGTGCTCAAATAATTAACATGCAGTATTATATATTTAGATATTTACCCAGCTGAGCGTCCCCAAAACGAAATGCTCCAATGAGCATCTCCCCTGAGCATCATGTTGGCACTCAAAAAGTTTCAGGTTCGGGAGCATTCTGAACTTCCAGATTGAGAATGTTCAACCCATACCACGTTCTGTTGATCCATTCATCTGCTGATGGACATTTGGGTTTTTCCCACTGTTTGGCTCTTGTGAAAAGGGCTGCTATGAATATTCATGTACAGGTTTTTGTTTGAATGCCTCTTTTTGAATTCTTTTGGTTATTTGCCCAGGAGTTTAATTCTATAGTTACTCTAGGTTTCTTATGGAGAAACTGCCAAACTATTATCCACAGCAGTGGAACCATTTTACATTCCCACCAGCAATGGATTCCAGTTTCTTCACATCCTTGCTAAACACTTATTTCCGTCTAAAAAAAAAATTACAGCTATTTTTGTGGGTGTGAAGTGGTATCTCATAGTGAATTTGCGTTTCCCTGATGACACTAGGCATCTTTTCATGTGCTTATTGGCAATTTGTATATCTTTGGAGAAATATCTATTCATGTTCTTTGTCCATTTCTTAATTGGGTTGCCTTTTTGCTGAGTTTTGCACATTCTTTATATATTCTGAGTGCTAGATCCTAGATATACGATAAGCAGATTTTCCCCCCTTCTGCAGGTTGTCTTTTCACTTTGAATAGCATTCTTTGATATACTTTTCAAAGTACTTTTACATATATTTCCTTTGATTTTCTTGGTTGAAACTGCTCCATGGCCATTAGGATTATAACAATGAGCCAATTTCTGTAAAAGGTCCAGGATACGCTTGGAGAAAAGCTTTAAATAAATACAAAGTTTGATTCATAAGAGCCTAATTCCTATTTAAGGTTCCTAACACATGAAAAGAATGGATTTAATGAGTGGAACAGATTATACCCTGACTTTTGCCGAAGTCCCAATGACTTTTTTTGAAGCTAACATTTATAAAGCCCTTTCCATGTGCCAGACTGTTGTAAGTGTTTTACATACACTAATTTATTCCTCCTGACATTTTGGGGTATGGATACAGTCATTTTCATTTTATAGCTGAAGAAACTTGAGGCATAGAGGTTAAATAACTTGCTCAAGGTCCTACAAGTGAGGAAATGCCTACACCAGGCATAAACCTAAACATTCTGGCTCTAAAGCAGTGCTGTCCACAGGAATATAATGTGAGCCATATATATAATTTAAGATTTTCCAGCAGCCATGTTAAGAAAAGTGTAAAGTGGCTGGGTACAGTGGCTTAAGCCTGTAATCCTAACACTCGGGGGCCAAGGTGGGAGGACTGCTTGAGCCCAGGAGTTCAAAATCAGCTTAGACAACTAGCAAGACCATGTCTCTACAAAAAAAATACAAAAATTAGCCAGGTGTGGTGGCACATGCCTGTAGTCCCAGCTACTAGGACTGAAGTGGAAGGACCACTTGAGCCCAGGAGGTTGAGGCTGCAGTGAGCTGTGCTCCAGCCTGGAAGACAGAGTATGACTCTGACTCAAAATAAAAACAAAAATAAATAAACTTTTAAAAAGAAATAGGTGTAATTTGCTTAATCCAATCAACATATCTAAAATATTGCTGCTTAGTCATGTAACTAACCTAAAAGTTTATTAATGTTTTATATCCTTTTTTTTGAGAGGTACAAAATCTTAGAGATTTGGTATGTATTTAACACTGAAAACATCTAAATTCAGACATAGTTATGTTACAAGTGCTGCCTGTGGCTACAGTATTGGATGGTGCAACTCTTAGTTAAAGTCTATGCCCATAACCATGATCTTACAGTCACTGCTCTCATTCTTACAGCTCATGTTCCCTGAAACCCCAAATCATGTGGTTATACAGCTTGGCATCTTTATTCTGACCTTTTCAACAAATAATCATATTTTCCTTGTGGTAATCCAGTTATTTTAGGCAGATTCATGTTCTCTTTTCATTGCTTTTTGCTGTTGTTTTGTTTTGGAGACTCACTCTGTTGCCCAGGCTGGAGTGCAGTGGAATTATCACAGCTCACTGCAGCCTCAACTTTCTGGGCTCATATGATCCTTCTGCCTAATTCTGAGTAGCTGGGACTACAGGCCTGTGCCATCATGCCTGGCTAATTTTTTTATTTTTTTGTAGAGACAAGGTCTCACTATGTTGCCTCAGCTGGTCTTAAATTCCTGGGCTCAAGCAGTCCTCCCACCTCAGCCTCCCAAAGTTTTGGATTATAGGTGTGAGCCGCTATGCCCGGTACACTTTTCATTCTTAATTTAAATAGTGTTCTCAGAAATGGGAAAAAAAAAACCTATTTTCAAGCTCTGAGATATAATACAGAGAATAATTCTAGAGTGATGGCATCTTTCTGAATAGTAGTAGTCACTCACCACTGAATTTTTAAAGATATCAGTTCTTTAAGGGAGCATCTTCTGCATATTTTATAAAATCAAAACGTAAGAAGGGGAATAAGGTGAAGCCATAGAAGGCCTGACAATAAAACTGAACGTACCTCAGAGTCTGACTGGTGACCATTAGATGGGATTCTGTCATACGGAAGATGTTGTGAATCGCCCGAGCAGCCAGCACTTGTCTCATAGCTTCATAAATGACTTCTGCTGTGCTGTCCGTTTTAACTGCCATCGAGCCCAAAAACCGAACTATAAACATCTGCTGCAAGAGTGAATCTGCAAGAGAGCATCTTCTGCTCAGGATCCCACTGACGCCTTGTGGACCTCATAGTGTCAGATGTGCTAGCTTTGCTGGCTTTCTGTGGAGGACTTTCCACCAAAACGTCTCAGTTCTGCCTTATAAACCCAGTATTGCCAAAGCCCGGAATCTTCTATGGTCTGTCTGTCAGTTTGTTTGGAGCCACTTTATTACCCTAGAAAGGCTCCTCTTTTTCTTCACCCATAAAAGAGACAGTGATACCAGATGTGCAACCCTTTAGCACTGAAATTCTAGGGAACTCCATGTGCAGATAGAATGCACACTTCACCTTTTCTCTGAAAATGAGAGTGTTCTGCGAGACAATAGAAAATGCATCACTCTGGCTCACAGATAAAATGTATTTGCAGGAAATACGACCTGATGTTCGGTTTTGTTCAGTTCACACACCATATTTATTACTGACGGGCAGTGATGATATTGCAGCATTAACCAACAGGGATCAGTACTGGCTTGCTTACAGTGGCACGTAACTGGAAGATCATGAAGAATGTTTTAAAAAGCATCATTTGTTTTTCCTCTGAGAACAATAATTCACCTACCCATCCTTTTAAACAGAAACCTTTTTCCTCCCTTGATCCTAAAAATAACTTAAGGATCTAAAAACGCTTATTAGAAAAATGCAACTGATGTGTTATAAATGGTTACACATAAAGATGGTTTTTGTATGTGTGGACTGTGTGAAAACAGCTCGATACAAGGTGAGCAAATCAATTTGAGGCACAACTCATACTGACATCATTAAAAAAAATCTTTTGCCTAAAAATGTAAAGACTGTCAATTCTCAAGCCCTCCTTTTAAATGTAAATAACTGGAATTTCATTCCAATGACAGCCTCAGGCTCTAGACATGAAGCTGTGCTCCAGTGAAGTCTTGCCTGCGAGTACTCCTTGCCTTGGCTGGGAACTCAGAGCTGTACGACTGAGTAACAGATTATGGTCAGTTCCACTGGGATGTTCCCAAGTACATTATAAAAATGTAACTCAACAAAAATTTAAGTATGAACAACTTAAATGTCATTTATTCATGCTGTCTTCAAAGTTCAGAGTCATTTGTGCCTTTGGTTTTCTAAAATGAAATGGCATATTCACAATTCACCAAGATTGCATTTTATTGTTATTTTTTTTCTGCTATTATCTTTTCTTCAAGATTGCATTTTAACATGACCATGTGCGCCTCTCTGAATTCGTTTTGTAAGAATGTGGTGCTGGATTCAGATCTGGCAACGTTTCTCTGCAGGAGCTACAGAGAGAGGGGATGGCTCTGGCTGTGACGGGGCAGCAGGTGGCCACCTGGAAGACGACCCTCACTGTTGGTCCAAGTCCTGCCCCCCCACACGTGCTCGCCCAGGTTTTCACGGAGAACAAAAAAGCTTCTGTTCATGCTCCAAATCACAGCTCTCCAGAACATAATTCACATCCTGTGTCTGTGGCCCTTGGCATTCTAGGGCAGGGGAGACAATGAGTGCACAAACCCGTCCCTTACCTTCTGCTTCTGGAAAGGACTCGTCTTCAGTTTCACCGAAAGGGTTGATACGCCTGAGGGGAACAGTAAGAGTTAAACAATCAAGGCAGCTTCAGCTAAAAGGACACTTAACACCTGAACTCCAGGTCGGAATGGCAACAGCTTTGGTGGTGGGTGGGGACACAAGATGTCAAATTTATTTTCGTGTCTCCTAGACAGACATCCCTTAGCCCGTACCTGCTCCCTCTGTTTTGATCCAGGAATTCTGTGGCAGGAAGCACAATATCAAATTGAATGGGTGTTCCAGGTGCAATGAGTTCTTCTGCTTCGGGCACAGTGGTTGTTGCTTTGGGAACAGTCTTGTCATTTTCCATCTCTGAATTTTTCAGGTTCTGGCTGTAGTATGCAGTAGGAGAAAAAGTATCAAATCCCGTCTAACCATATGCCTTTAAAATCAAATGATACTTGTTGAATGCTGGTGTGACTTTTATGAGCAGAAATACAAAGGAGATTTCAATCACTCCCACAATCTATTCTACAAATATAGTTCTTCCTAAAGCTTCATGTCTTTAGCTAAAAATCTTCAGAACACCCCACTTCAGAACACACAGTTCTCTGCACCATGTTAACTACCTGTCGCATTACCTACTAATCTGTACCTTTCTCCCTCTGAGGCGGGATTCTGAAGGTCAGTCTACAGCTGCGTCATGGCTATTACTTGGCACACAGGAGGCACTCAAAAATGTCAGCTGAACTAACAAAACGGCCTGGCCTGGCATTTCATCCCAGTCTGGCTCTCACTTCCCAAAAGCCTCTCTTTCCTCTCCCTCAATGCACCCTCCATGAGCGCTTCCCTGCCCCACAGTCTCCATTCGGTTCTGCTGCTCACCCAACTCTCCCACGCTGAAAACACCAGCTCAGATTTCTTCTTACCCACCAGACCAGTCTGAACCCCCCGCCTCAGAACACTGATTCTTCTCGGCAAGTCCCAGGGACGGTCTTGTGCCCGTGTACCTACTGAGCCGAGCACTGTGCCCACACACTGCTGCTGAGATCATGGCCCGTAGGAAGTGTGTCCTTTGCAGGACAGTTAGTCATGTACCAACACGTTTTTCTCCTCCGGTGTCAGAATGCTATAATTTAACTTCTCACATTTTAAAAGTATTTTCTCCTCAGCAGAGTATAAACTCCTTTGAGAAGCAAAGAATATCAAAGTCTTTAAAAATTATTTCAGTCTTTAGACCCTAAAAGTTCTCAATTATCTTTTTGTTCATTTGATATCTTGTATGTCAATATTTTCCTATTTTTCAAACATGTCAATAATTGAACATATTGTATGAAACTACTTTACAGTGGCCCTTTGACATGGATGTGGGTGGAAACACAATGCATGGGCTTGTGGACAGTCACGCAATTTGGCCTCTGTTGTTAACAGAAAAGGAAACTGAGGCCTCTGGAGAAACTGAGCATCCTGAAGGCACTCAGTTATCTGGTGGCTGAGCGAGATTAAGCTCTCCTCGCCGCCAGCAGAGGGCTCTCCCTGGATGTAACACTACCTCAGTAATCCCAACCTGCAGAATCCTATCTGCTCTTGACCTTGTCTTTAAGAAAGGGCTATGGTTTAGTTAAGTGGTAAGCACTGGAAAAAGACATGAGTACAAGCTCAGAGGAAGAGAGTGAGTCTAAAATTCTGGCCGCCCAGAGGGCCAAAGGGGAGGTTACACAATTAAGAGGGTGGGGGCAGGCTGCAGAGGCCCTTAGCACCCTCAGGTGGGGTCTGAACGGGCCTCTCCAGTCTCGGGAGCCAGTGAAGACTTTGGACAGAGGAGTGACATGGTGTAAACTCTCGCCTGTGAGCCCCGTGCCACCACCTCTAACAGCCACTTTGCAGTCCCCCTTTTAATTGGCTTCTCAGAGCATCTAACACAACTGACCTCTCCCTGAATCTCTCCTCGTGTCTGCCGGCCCCACATTCCACAGGTTTTCCTTCTTTCCTGCTGCTCTTCTCGGCGTCTCGAGCAGGCCCCTTCTCTGCCCTCAGTGCTGCTGTCCTTAGGGTTCTGTTGTGGCGCTCCTCCCCCTCCACCCTCCCTGGAAGGCTTCTTCCGCTGCTTCAGTGCAGATGCATTCCCGACTAACATACCCGGCCTGGCCATCTTTGTTTTCCAGACCTGTATCATCGCTGACGACTTGAAAACTTACGGGGGTGATTCGCAGGCCTCTGATTTAACCTGTTCAAAGCGGAACTCTTTAAAAACACCATCTGCCAGGTGCTTGGTGCTGACTGGAGCTCCCTTCCCTCTGTCCTTTTCCTTCCGCAGCATGTCCTCCTCAAGTCCAAGTCCATTTACTGGTCTACGCCACCATCTTCTTGGACTGCTGCTGCATCTCCTTGTTGGAAACGTACTCACCCAGCTCTGTGTTCTGTGTTCTCGGAGGAGCTGGAGCTCCCTTGGGGAAACGTGAAGTGGATCTTCTTCCTCCCTCTCGAACCTCAAAACCCTCCCACGGCTCCCCTCCCCCACCTAACTTCATCTTGCGCCATGGTCTCCCTCTGCCCGCCACTGTCCAGTTTTTCTTTAAGCTCCTCAAATACATTAAGTTCTTTTTTTTTTTTTATCTTCGAGCTGGAGTCTCACTGTGTCGCCCAGGCTGGGGTGCAGTGGCATGACTATGGCTATAGCAGCCTCAACTTGCTGGGCTCAGGTGATCCTTCCACCTCAGCCTCCCAAGTTGTTGGGACTAAAGGCATGTGCCACCATGTCTGGCTAGTTTTTTGACTGCAGGTCTCGCCATGTTGCCCAGGCTGGTCTTGAATTCCTGGACTCAGATAATCCTCTTGCCTCGGCCTCCCAAAGTGCTGGGATTACAGGTGTGCGCCACTACACCCAATTACTAAGTTCTTTTCTGTCCCTTTGCCTCCATAATTGCCAGCAGGATGCACCATCTAGCCCTTTGCAAGAGTGGCCACTCTCATCTTTTACTTCACAGATGGAATAATCTCCACAGCCACACCCTGCACAGGTCTCCCCTCTCCATGACAGCACCTCATCACTAACATCGTGCTTTCCTCCTGTTAAGTGAGCATTTGCTTACCTTTTGCCTGTCTCCCCTCAGTGGTCTATCTGTTTAGTTACCTAGACCAGGCCTGGGCATACAGCAGATACTCAAATATGTGTTGAGTAGCTGGGTACATGAATGAATGGTAGATACAGCTGCAGAACGAGGGAATGCCACACATGCCGTCTGCTTAGAAGTGACAGTTTGTCCCGAGAACACAGTTTCTCTGATTCTTTCCCCCACTGTCATCAAAACATTTCTTTGTTCTTGAGTTGACCCTAAGAGAGACAGTACCCTTCCCCTCACAGCTCTGGAGCCATCTGGCAGCCACATCTGTCACCCATCCGATCTCGGGATTAATTCAGCAGGCTGGCTAGCGTCATTCTGTTTTTCCCAGGGATTCTTCTGTGTCCCCTCTGTGGGGTCCGTTTTGTCTAAGAGTGTGATTTACTTATTTTAGAACAGGAGAGAAAAACTACTTAACCAGAATAACTAAATCTGAACTGCAAGTTGTGTCTTTTTAGAAAACTAATCACACCTAGCTCCCAACGCTCCTCAGCTATACTCGGCGCCCTGGAAAGGTGGCATTTGAGAGCTGGAAGGGCCTGTGGAGGTCATCTAGTCTCTCGTCTCCTTTGGTCTCAAAGTTGAGGACACAGAGGCCCAGAAAGTCGACTGCCTTACGCAAGGTCAGCTAAGCTGTGCACAAGGCGGCGCCACCACTAGGACCCATGCCTGCTAGCTCTGAGTCTAGGATTCTGTCTGCTGTGGGCATCAAACATCTGTGTGACTTTACCAAGAGAAGACAGAGCCACTTGCCCCAGAGGAGGTTAGCGGGCTAAGCTTCACTGTGCACACGCATACTACACATATGCGTGCTGCTTGTACAAACTTAAATCCTCATGTACACTAAAGTGTTTCTTGGACTTGGTGCCTTCTTCCCATTTTTTTTAACCTTTGTTTCAGTGCTCATATTCTGCTTCACAGCTGCTAATGACAACAACCTCCCGCTGGGTCTCCTGCCATCCCCTTCGTCCTGCCAACCCCCATACAATTTACCCTAGAGAGTGTGCAGAACAAGCTTTCTTTTCTTCGAGTGGGAGTCTCACTGTTGCCCAAGCTGGAGTGCAGTGGCACGCTCACAGCCACCGCAGCCTCGACCTGCTGGGCTCTGGTGATCCTTCTGCCTCAGCTTTCCAAGTAGCTGGAACCACAGGTGCACATCACCACGCCCAGCTAATTTTTTCATTTATTGTAGAGATGAGGTCTTTCACCAAGTTGCCCAGGCCGGTCTTGAACCCCTGGTCTCAGGCAATACTCTCACCTCATCCTCCCAAAGTGCTGGGATTACAGGCGTGAGCCAGCGCACCTGGCCTGGAACAAGCTTTCTACATCTACACCTGGTTCTAGTTATCACCCGTCGTCTCAAAACCCTTCCCTTCTGCTCCACTGCCTTGAACTCCTAAGCAGGCACTCAAACCTCCTTCCTGGCCCTACCTCCTCTCATTCCACAGGCACCAATGGCCCCACGCTGCACAGCAATGAGACTCTGGGAGGTTACTTAACCACTCTGAGCTTTCTAATGACTTCCTTCTGGTGTCATCAGGTTATATCTGTAAAACATTTAATGGATTTCTTTCTGCCATGCCACTAAAAGACCCACACCAAATACAATCATAATTTAAATTTACCCTTTAATGCCAGGCTTTCATTGGCATGACAGATAATACAGTCTTCCATTATTTAACCAAACAGAAACTCCCATTAAAAGGTGGGATTCCTGAATCCTAAAGCAGCATTAGAAACGAAAAGAGCTGTATCCATGAAAATGCTCTCTATAAATGACAACAACAAACAGAAAAAGGGAAGGGAACATAATCTAAATGTTCAACAATTAATAATAATAGATGATGCACTAGTATACAGTTATTAAAAGGAGCAAGTATGAAAAAATGCAGAAATAGTAAAAAAGTATACGTGGAAATACATATGTATTCGTGTCTAGGTAAGGCCTGGGCAGTAACATGGACACAAAGGTGATTTTGTTTGTTATTTTAAAAAAGGTTTTTGAATCACTGACATCACTTTGTTGATGCCGAAAGAAAACGTGGGGAGAACTCCTGATCACCTGTGCCCTTGAGGCAAGTCCTGTCTGCGGGGCCTGCAGCAGCCTGTCCAGTGGAAAGGACAGGGCTGCGGACATCAGGCAGGCTCGAGTTCTGGCCCTGCTCTCACAGGTGGAGAGCACATGGGCAAAACGGGTGACCTTTCTCTGCCGCAGCTACTGCTTCTATTTAACAGGCTGAACATGCCCAGGTAGTTTGTGTGGATTAAGTAACAACTCATTTCAGATTCCTAATCCACAATTTGGCTCCACGAGAGCAGTTTTACTTTGTCCTTTAATTACCTGGGGCACGAGCTTTCTTGTTTTTTTCCAAAACTGGTAATGGGAGTCACAGCTTGAAGAGCCGTCTGATTCAGCTTGATTGCGACTGCCTACAAGTCACAGGGAGGACATGCTCAGTCCCAGGAGGTGGGCGCTTACCTTTCCTGGGCAGAAGGGGGCCGAGTGCAGGCAGGTGCTAATTACCTCTGGGTTGTCAGTCAGGTAGATCTGTCTGGAGATGTTGTTGATTGCACATATCCACTGTAGAGGACATTAAAAAAGAACACTGAATCCCAGGTCACGCGCTGCACCAGGAAAGAGGTAAGACAAACAAAACCTTTACCTCTTCGTTTTCCTTTCTGCTCTCTGCCTGGAGGATTATTCCCCTGAAACAAAATGCATCTCAGTGACCGAGGATTATTCTGCATAAACTGAACTTAGCTGGATGCTGGAGGGAAAAGGTCCGGAAGGCAGCGTGACGGGAAGGAAGGAAAATGGAGCTCCGGGTCCGACTCTGCCACGAATTCACTACAAGGTCTTGGACAAACACTTCCTTTCCTTGGGCCTCTTTTCTCATCTCGAAGATGAGAAGCTGGGACTCAAGTCATGGAACTCAAGCCTGTGACTACGGTGAAGACCATCTTGTTGCCCTCCCCTCAGATGATCTGAGACCACCAGGATCCTGGCCCAGCCACTCCTCCCACCTTGCCCAAAGACGGCTTCTGCAGCCAGTCCCCTCCTGTTTCAGAACTGAGAACTCTGCAGATGGGGCCAGTGAATAAGATGGCACCGATCCTGCCCTACCTTTGTGAAGGCCTTAACGCTGAAGGTACTGCACACCTGCTAGCTCCTTTGCTCCTCAATCCGTGGTAGATGAGGTGATACAGATCTCATCCTATTTCATATCTGAGGAAAGTGGGACCCAGAGGAGATAACTGCAAGGGACCATGGTAGAATCCAGAAATCTTCATTCCCAGGTCACATCCCGTCACCAGAGGAGGAAGGATGCGATCTAAACCTGCTCTGCCCCGCTGGGAGAAGGGACAATCTACACTGTCCCCAACTCCACCCCACACTGTCGTTCAGATGCAGTCTTCACTTAGACCCCAGTGTAGAAAGCAAACACGGCAGAGCTCTGCCTGCGGGGCAGGGTGGTCCTCTCCCCCAAGGCCTGTGAGCCCTAAAGACATCCACGGGACTCCGAGCTCCTTGGCGCAGAGTTTGAAAAGCACTGTTCTGAGAGGGGATCCCACTGGGTTGGAATCTATTGTGAATGACTGCAAGGCTGCTGACTTTTCAGGTGTGGTCTGAGATATGCAGGGGATGTGGAACAACACAGTAACACACACTGTGTGCAGCCTTCAGCTGCAGCTGAAGGCACCATTCACAAGGCCTGTTTCTGCCCCCTTAGGCAGCCTGTCCTTACTGACTTTCCTCATCCTGGCCCCGCCATAATGAGAACAGACGAGTGCCTCTAGAACAGGCTAGGAGTAGCCACAGTCTTCTCTCTCTCTCTCTGAGAATGTCCTGACTTATATCACTGTGTACAATGTATAATGTAGGTCATCTCTTTTCCAAAGGCACAGGCAAATCCTCTCTGGGCCTCTTTAAATGAGGCAGGTTGGATCCCACATGGCTCATGCAGGCTTGTTTAGAGAGTAAAAAATCCTCCTTCTGAAACGTCAACGGTAGCCAGAATGGGACCTCTCCCACGGAGACTGGCACACAGGAATGCACTAGGAAGCCCTTGGCAGGGGTGGAGTCGCTACACTTGTTCTCCCAACGAAAACCCACAAGACGTACGATTTTCCATTAGGAGTGGTGATCTGGAAACAGTATCGCCGGTCCTCACAGTCCACCGCCATCACGGAGCAGTTGTCCAGGTCCTGGATCAAACCTCCAGCCACGGCTCCCCTGGGCTGACACATGAGATTCCCTCCTTGGGTGAAGAAGTAAAGCCTCTCCCAGGTGGTGGTGACCAGCCCTGTTTTGCTGTGTGAATTGTGTTTTAAAAAGCCCATTAGTCCTAGAAAGCATGAGGGGTACCTCCAAGTCTGAAGCCTCTTTAGGGCCAAGAGTGGCATCTTAGAAACAATGTATTTCTTTATAACATTAAAGCAAAGCTGCTCTGAAAATCACTCAAGTGAAAAGAGCAGCAACAGAGCTACACAATTCAGCTGAATGATCTGGGAGATTGTGGCTCTGCTTCAAGGGGAATGCAGGTCCCGGCCAGCTCCAGGCATGTGGGCAGAACATGTCCCCCTACAGCAGCCATGTTCTGGCTTCTAACCCCGATACCTGGATTTAGAATTAGTCCAGCACGAGTAAGAACTGAGAACCTGGAGGACCATTTCTCTAAGACAAGCAGAACTGCTCTAAACCTAGTCAGTACCATGGTCACCTCCGCCCACAGCAGACGCTCCCCAAGCAGCCTGGGTTTTGCTCCAGCTAGAGGGTATCCTCGTTTTGTGGTCTGCTCTATAGGAGGAATGTCTAGTTCCTGGAAGGCATCACCAGAACCTTGTGGAGTTTTCTATACCTACAGAACTACACGGGACATTAGCTCGTAATCTCAGCAAGTTTACAGGCCTTGAGGAGCTCTACCCTCAAACAGTTGGCAAGTCCTCTTCACACTCTCCACTTAGGGGGTATCAAGTACATTTGCTTGGTTCAGTATTTGCTGAATAGCAACTATTGTGTGAGGCAATGGGTTTCTTACCCCAATCATTTCCAAAAATTGGCAGAGGCTAATGCCTGAGTGCTTACTGCCTGATAGGAAGGCCTCATTCAATCATCAGCTCCATCTTACCAATGAAGAGATTGAGGCTCAGCCCATCCGGGGTGTCCGAAACCCAAGCCAGGGCTCTACATACTATGCCAGGACAGCATCCTCTCTCTTCTTACAAGCTTTTAACCCTGATCGTCCCTTCCATTCAAAATGGACATTTAAAGACATGATATTCAATATGTGATTCAGTCTGCTGGCCCTGACTCTGGCTCGGCGGTAGGTCTTGTGCCTGGCCCTCACCTGCCGGCCGGCGTGGAACAAGAAGAGTAGGATGGGGATTAACAGTCCAGGATGATAAGAGTTAAGAGTGTTACAAGTGGGCTGGGTGCAGTGCTCACACCTGTAATCCCAGTTCTCTGGGAGGCCGAGGTGAGAGGATTGCCTGAGCCCAGGATTCAAGACCAGCCTGGGCAACTTGGCAAGATCTCGTCTCTACCATAAATAAAAAAATTAGCTGGGCGTCATGGCATGCACCTGTAGTTCCAGCTACTTGAGGTGAGGATCACCTGAACCCAGTCTGAAAGAGTGAGACTCCGACTCAAAAAAAAAGTGTTACAAGTGGCCATGGTGACCACAAGGGTGGCCTGCAGTGCCCTGGTGTCCATGGCACTGGGTTCTTATTCACAGGCCTCTGTTGCTAGCCCCATCTCAGTGCAGCTTGAGGCCTGGGCCCCAGCTTCCTGAGTTCCAGGTGGAGGGGTGCTGGGGAGGAAGTCCTTCACCATTTCACCAGCCCTACCCTCAGGCCTCAATGGGGCACTTGGAACCTTGTTTTTCTGCTTCGGAGAGAGGCAGCCAGGGGCATTCTCACTTTCTCAGGTTGAGGTAGCCGGCCTTCTGGATGAGGTTCCTGTTGATCTGCGGAGCAGTCACATCAGAGTCCGGAGTGTAAACAGACTCATCTGTGGAAAGTAACTCCTGCTGGGACACCCGCATCTTTTCCGACTCGGCTTCCAGTTCCACCTGAATGCTTCAGACAGAAGGTGTTGGGTCATGACTCACCACTGGCCAACCCGCACTCCCAGAAGCAGCGGGCAGCCACTCCCCCAAGGCCTCCTGCCTTACAGGTGGGTCCACCAGCCTCCCATGGGTCACAGCTCTCCACCCTTAGCTCAGGCACCGTGAAGCACAGATCACAGCCACTCCATTCCACAGCACTGAAAATATGTGTATGACTCAGGCCTTAAACCTGAACATGAGGCATGCCACGGAACTCTGCCTGAGCCTAGCTGAGCAATTTTGGGGCTGACAGAGAGGTAGCTACAAGCTGTCTGGAGGAAAACTTTGGTGAGCCCATCCTGGGGCTGCATGACAGGCAGCCATGCAAGTCCCACAAGGGAAGAATGAGACGGTGGTCGTTCCTGCGCCATTCCTGGTCTAGGCAGGGGGGTGGGAGACAGCCACCCGAGACTGGAAAATGACCCAGAAGTGGTTCGGGGGCCACAAAACCCAGGGCAACGCTGTTCCTGTTTTAACAGCCATACACCTGTTGAGAGGCTGCAGGGCCAGCTGGCCAAGGGCAGCCCACAGGCGCACGGGGCTGGTGCCCAGGCTCTGGGGCTGAGCCTATGGCTTTCTGCACGTGCGTGTGAAGGCAGGGAAGCAGCAGCTTCCTCCTTGCCCCAGAATGCGGCCACGCATTCTGACCACCCTGCCTAGTGGGGAAAGGCTTGGCTCTGAAGTCCTGAACACAAGCTGCCTAGCAGCGCCTATCCTGATGCCACGAAGGCACACTGTAGAGGAAGTGTTCCACTTTCCCACTGTGTTACAGGAGAGAAGACAGAATTACAAATATCAACATCAGAAGCAAGCAGGGGGCCAGCGGGGTTACGGTTTCTCAGGCGAGCTCTGGGACTTTCTTCTGATGTTCAGTAACTTTGGGCTTGGACATGTCATGTCCTCCTCTTTCATGCAGCTCGCTGCGAGCAGTCAAGCCAATCTTGGTGTTTCTGACACTGCAATAGGATGCCTAGGGACTCCACTGTTGGTGACCGTGGGACAGGCAAGCTGGAGATGGACCCCCATTCGCTTCACCTGCCTGTCCCTGCTGACGCAGGGAGGATGGAGAGGAATCGCTCAGCACAGGCCGGTGGAGAGAGGGGCCCCACCCAGGTGAGCTGCTGGGCTCTCCAGCGGCAGGGGGTGAGGTGAGAATCCTTCCTGAAGATGTGAGGAGAAAGGGCTGGCTTCCCAGCAAAACGCTCGTGCACACCAGTGAGACGTCTTGCCTACAACTCCAGGGCGTTTTCAGTAGCTGCCTTGTCCTCCCCCACCCCACAGACTCAGGCGCGCATACTCTGAGCCCATCCACGGCTCCTGTGGCCTGCAGGAACCAGGTCAAAGGTAAATGCTTTCAATGGGTTCTCTTCGAAGATTTTTTTGATTTTTTTTTTTTGAGTTGGAGTCTCCCTCTGTCGCCCGGACTGGAGTGCAGTGGCCGCTCCCGGCCACCGCAGCCTCGACCTGCTGGGCTCCAGCGATCCTTCCGCCTCCGCCTTCCGAGTAGCCGGAATTACAGGCATGCGCTACCACACCCGGCTAATTTTTTGATTGATTGTAGAGATGAGGTCTCGCTGCCCAGGCGGGTCGCAAACCCGCAGGCTCAGACAGTCCACTCACTTTAGCCTCCCAAAGGTGCGGGATTACAGGCTGAGCCACCGAGCCTGGCCTCAAAGATTTTTTTTTAAAGCATATTTTATTTAATTTAAAGTATATATATATGTGCAGCAGAGGGATCTAAGAAGGGCTGAAGTGTATCACTTCAGGGTTAGAGAATAAAAAAAGCCCCTGCGAGGTGCTTGGAAACCACACCACCCTGCCTAGCTTCCCGCTGGGTCTTGAGGCCTCTCATCCTGAGAACTCGGAGCATTGGGCATCCGTCTCCTGAGCAAGGACTGCCACGCTTCAGTGCCACCACCAGGCCCTGTTCTGAGGCTCCCTGGATGGGCTGGCTGCGAATGCATGGCAATGTGGCAAAGAAGCACCTACTGGTCTGAAGAGTGGCTATACTGATCCACTCACCAATATAAAATGTGACAGGACAACTGGCATTCTGAAACAGAAAGCAGCCGGGCTCAGTGGCTCAGCCTGTAATCCCAGTGCTTTGGGAGGCTGAGGTGTGTGGATTGCCTGAGCCCGTGGGTTCGAGACCCGCCTGGGCAACTTGGCGAGAAATAAAAGTAAATAAATAAATTTAAAAATTAGCCGGGCGTGGTAGCGCACATCTGTAGTTCCAGCTACTCGGAAGGCTGAGGCGGAAGGATCGCCGGAGCCCAGCAGGTCGAGGCTGTAGTGGCCAGAAACGGCCACTGCACTCTAGTCTGGGCAACAGAGTGAGACTCCAACTCAAAATAAATAAATAGATAAATAAATAAATAAAATAAAATGAAACAGAAAGCTTTAGCTACCTGAACTACGAGGTTCAAGACCTGCAAGGTTCAGTCTGGGAACCCACCTGCTGCCAGTCACCCCTGCAACTAAATACATTTTGTCAGGCAACAGAGGGACAATCTGCAGAACCAGACCCAGTACACACAGAGAGGGAAGGTCACATAGCCTGGATGCAGGCTGTGACTTCAGCGTCCAGGCTGGGGTTGTCTCAGGATAGCCAGTGCTACACTGGACTGGCCTCATAGCGGCTCACAGAAATGCAGACCAGGAGGGAAGACACAGTCTCTGGGGTCTGCAGGCAAACACACCATGGCATCTCAAACAGTGGACATGGATGTCCTGCTACCCATTAATAAAGTAGTCTAGCACATCCATCTGAAGAATGAATGGATGGTTCTCCTAGAAGCAGAGAGAGCCGTGGAATTCTGAGATTAAAGTAGGCTGAGAAAGAGACAGGGACCGATGAGGGAGAGAGGCTATGCTAGGAGGCGGCAGGCCAATGGCTCTCGTCTTTTCTTTCTCCCACAGTCTCCGGGGCTAACATCAAAAGGCCAGAATGTGAAATCAGATTTCTTACATCCTTTCTAGCATAATCATAAATCTAGCCCACATCACGCACTGCTGCCAACTATCCAGGAAAAAAATGGTTCAGCGACTTGCGGGAAAGGAGCACACACTCTCAACTCCCCACCCTTGCATTTGTCAGAAGGCCCAACACTGGTTTTGGGGGGGGGAATTCATTTTTTATTCTCAGAGCATTTTAGGTAGACTTCTACCTAAATAAATTCCACTGTTTGGTTGTCATGAGGTATTTTGAAATGCAGTGTCTTCAAGAAAATGAGCAACTCTCTCTTCGTTTCTCCACGTGAAATAAAACTCCTACTCTTATTTCTATTTTGTATATTTGTCAAGTATACACACATACACTCACACCCAGACATACTCCTGTACCCCAGAAATTGTGACAAGGACCTGAGGAACACAGGCCTGTGCTCCGGGGGCAGCAAGCCTGGTACTACAGGCACAGGAACCTCCCCAGAGTCACCAGGCGGAAGCCGAGAGAGGGAAGGGGATCTGAGCAACCCCGTCTCCGGTAGGTATGGCCGAGTTGCCAGAAGGGAGTGATGTATTTTTTAAAATAAGCGATTGCAGTTTGTTAAATCAGTTCCAAAAAGGCTAAACCTCTCTCATGTATTATAAATTAACATACTGGTTAGAGTTTCCTGAAGAGTTGCAGCACTTCTGGCTGCCCCTCCTATGAGCTGACAAGGAAACAAGCAAAGAGCTCTTCTGAAGCACAGCAAATCCCAGCTGGACTCAGGGCCTTAAGGCATGTGAAACCCGAATATTAGCAAAACAAGATCCTGAGAACAGGAACTTGGACTTAATGGGGAAGTACCCTGTGGATGTTTTAATTTTTATTTGGCCTTTTAATGTCATGGGACGGTCTGGACTCCACACCAGTCGGGAACTGCAGAAACCATTTCTCTTCAGCCGTGCACCCCCGATGTCCACAAATTCCAGCAGCCAAGGTAGGGGAACCGTTAGCAAGAGCTCAGGGGGCTGGGGCTCTGTGGACCCTCCCCGCCTCCCAGAGACGACAGCGCGGCAGCAAGGGCAGGAGGCAGAGTGCAGCGTTACCTTTGGACCATGTCAGCGACGGAGGACAGGAAACTGTCCATACGTTTGGAAAACATCTCTGATCCCTTCTGAAAAAAGTTGATCTGAAAGATACAATTTTGACATCTGAAAAGCATCTGGAAAGGTGACGGACGAACTCATCACGTGTGAGACTGACAGTGTCCAGGGCAGCCTCAGCGCAGCCCTTGTAGCCTCTCTTAGTCTCCACCACATGGGCTGAGAGTGACGCCCGAGTCCCAAGGGCATGCGCAGAACTGGGACTGTGGTCCCCAGCAGTGTTGCCGGAAGGCTGGGAGTATCAGGAATGATGTCAGTTAAGTGCTTGGTATACACCAAGTGTTGTGATAATTACTACTGATGATTTTTTTTAACTGCAAGGAGAAACAGATGATATGGATAATTATATTTTTATATTAGCAGCAGCTGCCTTTTCTTGTGTAAATTCTAAATATTAAGTTTCTGGAGGGCAAGGATTAGGTATTATTCAGCTCAGCACCAGAAAGAAACTGACAAGCACTTGTTGTGGTGCAGCACAAGAGTTTACCCACCCCAAAGGCCACCATCTGACTGAGCCCACTCACTGGGCCACATGTAGCTCTGAACACTGGCTGGCTGGATGGATGGTGACTTGGCTGAAACGCTTCAGTGGTTAAAGACTCTTAGAGCTGCTTCTAACCCTGACATCACCCCCTGAAGAGGATCATGGATGCAAAGGACAGAGCAGGGCCCTGGCACGAAGCAGGCGCTCAGTACAGGCAAGGATACCCCTGCTCCCCGATATTCTGTGATGGATGCTCTCTCTGCCCAGGAGTCCCGAGGACTATGCATTTTGAAAATGGAACTGTAGTTGCTGGCCCTCTGGATACCAATGGCAGAAACTCCTTCCTTCCTATGACTCCTCTGTAATATTCACTCTGACACACCTGAAGGGCAGAGGTGTAGGAGAGAGGAAGAAGAACATTTCTGTGTATTAACGACATCTGCAACCACCCCACCCTGAACAGCTCAAGTTGCCATTCTTCTTATGGCCTTGGCTTCAAAGAATTTGGATATTAGGTATAAGCTGCTTCATTTTACATGTCCAGTGGTTGAGAGGTGACCATTGCAAGTCTAGGTTATGAAAAAAGAGAGAAAACATTCAGCATGGACATGAGTTTTCTCTCACACATGATCCCATCCATTTGTCTGATCCGGAAGCCCACCTTGCCCTGGGTAGGCAGCACCGAAATCAACCTCTTGCCCCAAGGAGGCTGGTAGTGCTGCCAGCACAGTTCTCACATCCTTCCATCTGTTCCCCAGACACATGCGGAAGCATGAATACCAATGTCCTTAGTTATCACAAGAGAAAAACATGATGACCACGATTATCCCGACGCAAGGTAACACATGCAGGGGATGTTTTGGCCTCATGATCTTTCAACACCATAAATGCCATTTTGAATCCCTGAAATGTTGAATATCAGTCATTTCCTATCATTCATCTGGGACCACTGTGCATTTCTAAAGGTGCAGCATCACAGTGGCTTCTCTCTCCTCTCCCTCCCTGAACTCCTTTGGAAACTATCCTGTAAGTCCGGGTCTTAGCTCCTCTACTATCTGTAAGCTTCGTAGGGCAGGGGCTCAGCAAACCCCTAAATGAGATGAGCGGACACAAAGGAAAGACACTGGCTTCCACAGCCACACCATAGTCCTTATGTGTCAGTCTTACACTGGAGTTCATTGTTCTGGTCCCAAAACCCTGCACGCAGATTACAGAGCCTCAGTCTGTAGGCATGGGCCTTGAGTCATGATGGAACTGGAAACCTGTTGGACGAGGGCGGAGAAGGCAGAAACCAAGTCCCCATACCCCCACAAGGTGGGTGGTACCTTAGAGCGCGGCAGGAAGTTCGATGGCCACACAGCCATCAGCTAATGAGAGGCGTGCTCGGTAAACACAGACTGCAGAGGTCAGTGAGGCAGGAGGAGGGCAAATACTCCTGAATCAGCCAGAGGTTCAAGAGTCAGTCAGCACACTTGTCCAAGAGAGCGAACTAGAGTCCTCATTAACGTGTGGAAAGTCTACAGGGTAAGGGACCACGTGATCTTATGCCTTGAAATCTGGTGCTCTTCATGTGAAAAATACAACGTGTCACCCTCAGGGCTCCAAAACTATACTCCTGCCACCCAGCAACAATGGTGTGCTCTGCTGCTTCCCAGGCCCAGGGATGCATTTGCACCCAGCACTCCTCTTCCCCGCTGGGCCAGCAACATTCACCTAAAGAGTCCAGGCTGGGAGCATGGTGCAGTGTGTGGCCACGAGAGAGTGGCGCCAGCTGGCATCAAGCCTATCCTGCAGGTCTCGAGAGGACCCTCCAGTGCACCAGCCAAGCCTCAAGCACTGACCCCTCAGGCCTGGAGCCATTCACCCTCTGAGACACGAGCCTGGGCCTCCACCTGAGCAAGGACCTGCCAGAAGCAGCGGCTGTCAGTCTAGTGAAGGCGCCCAACAGGGGACAAAGCACCAGCAATCTCTAACAAAACCAGGACATTCGCCAGGTCAGAGGTGACCGAAGGGGGAGGGCAAGTGCCCAAAGCCCATCGCTAGGAAGCGGGCAGCTTCCAAGACTTGCCGAGGACGGAAAGCCACAGCTGGATGGTGCTAGTTTTTGGTTTTTCCTGACTGTACTCAGATGAGATGGAAAGATCTGACTGCCATTTAATATTACCCCTGAAAATACAGGCTGACTCTAGTCAACTCACTGCTCGATGGCGTAACAACCATATTAAGACGACAGACAGCTGAGCTTGGCTGTTTAAAGATCCTCTCTTGTTCCCCCTTTTCCTGAATGAAAGTGATGGTGAAGGCTTTTTTGGGAAACATATGTTCTCAAAAATGTATTATAAAAGTAATAGATACTTGTATGTGGGGCATTTTTTAAAGTTGGTGACTTTTTTCTTATCAGCATTTTGCTTCCTCACATCCTTTTCTGTTCCTAGACTGTCTGCTGAAGGGAAGACTTGGTCACATTTCTCACATGCTAAAGGGAGGTTCTGGAGGCAATGTAGGTAGGACTAAAGCAGGCAGGGGTGGAGGGCCCGAGGGTGGTGCCACAGCCTCCCATTCACACCCACTCTTGTCCCTGCCATGCTGGTGCTGTGACAGTCCAGTCCCTGTCCTGAAACTGGAGCCTCCCTTCAGACATTAAATAGGAGGGTGGAAACCAAATAAGAACATTAAACTTTAGAAGGTGCTAGCAATCCCCTTAGAGATATGTGATTTGAGAATAACCCAGCTGAGGGTGTGCCTTACAATACAGAGCAGCAGAGGAAGGTATGGAATCCTAGGTTCTAAGCCAGCCATTCCCATCTAAGCAGCACACTTTTTTAGGAAAACTGGGCGAGGCTTGACTTTCATCTGGATCAAAACAAATGGCATGCAGGCTCCTCCCCATGGGGGCTTGGGACCGCCTATCATTTCCTGAACAAAGTACAAAGTACAGCCTAACTACAGGCTAACTACATCCAGCCGAAGAGGGCCCAGCCCAGCGGAAGGTCTCCAAGTGCTGACTCCCAGGAAGTTTCCAGGGAGAGTGTGCATTTGTGTTTCTTTCTATGATGATGTTAGTTTCTGCATCTGGTATCTTAGCAGACTAACAAAGTTGGCTTGGGTTTCGGCTTGGGTTTTGCCCTACCTGTCCGTGGGCAAAGCCTATCATGGGCTCCATCATGGCCATGCGCTTCCTGTACTGCAGTGCGTTGAGGGCACAGTAGTACTGAAGGGACGAAAGGTGTTGCTTCCGCCGGGCCGTGGCCACCTCTTTCCCAACGTCCGTCTTCACCTGTTTAAAAGGTAAAAAGAAACTTCAAGTTATCTATTTCACGTGCCAATTCTGTACAAGTAGCAACTTCAAAAATAACCATTTCTGTCACAAGTATACTAAAATACAAATAAGGTTCCACCCTTAACTTCTAGAAAAAATCCATATGAAAAATAAATAATAGCCTCTCGGTGCCTGCGGTGCCGCGCTGAGGTGAAGCCAACACCTTCCTGGGGCAGCACAAAGGCCTTCAGGAAGACAACACGGCAGCATGTGCTGAAAGCTGCAAACATTCTGACTCACTCATAAGCTGAATCCCAAGGGAGCAATTTAGCCCAAGGAATTCATGGAACAGAAAGAAGTAGAGCTGTATACATGAAAATATTCAATATTACCTATTGTCCCCCAAACCCTAGAAAGCATGGGTTAGAGAATCAGTCAACATCCAGGGCAAGGAGTTCAAGAGACCTGAGTGACACATAAGTCACATGACTCAACGAGGTAATGGGCTGAAGTGAAAACCACTGTGTGACCATAATCTTACAGTGGTGCCAAGCTGGTGTTTAATAAGCTAGTACAAAAAGCTAGAATAGAAAAGTGGAGGTTTCCTTATGAGATTTGGAATAAATAATTTAAAAAGTCTGTGTATCTACAAGAAAAAAAAAATTCTTCAAAAGCAACCCTTAAATGCCACAAATTCACAAGAGGAAAACACAGAAGGAGCGTACATAAATGAAGTGAAATATAACATGTAAAGTTTCTTACCTTCTCATTCTCCTTTTTTTTGGGCAGTCTGCTATATTTTGCCATTGACAGATCATGCTCTAAAAGTAAAGAGATGTCTGAGCACCCAGAAAGGTCGAAAGGCAGGAACGTTCATTCAGCATCTCCTCCCACATAGACACCAAGCCCACACACATCACTACCCAGGCCCCGAAAATAGAGAAGAAGAGGCCTACCACTGCTGGCAAGTCCAAAAAGATCCTTCAAAGTGCTTACTTCTGAAAAGGAAGAAAGTGAACATCTTAGAACAAAGAAAAATCAAACATGCCACCCCAGAACTCTGTGCTTTCCTGAGAAAATAAAAGTATATGCGTGGAAGGCAAAGGCTCTGCCAGCATCCCTTGTCCTTTGCTCTCTCGGGCCTCCCTGGAGACGGAGATCCTGTCTCCCTGGAGCATGTGGCTTCAGCTGCACCTCATACCCAGTGGCCCTGGCCGCCCAAGCAGCCCTTCCTCTCCACGTAGTGCTTAGAATCTGTGACAGGGAGGGCACCCGGGTGGATGTGGGCTGGCCAGCACGGTGGCTGGGGCCATTTCATGGAGACCTGGAGTATAAACATAAGTTCTGGCTCTTCAGCCCCAAAGAGTGTGTCTTAATACATCCTTCCTCAGAATGCAGGCAGGGATACCCCCAGAACTTGGAAGTTTCTGGTGCCAAGTTTTACCATTTGATTTATTAGAGCTGCTGCTGGATTAAGGTGTATGGGTGCCCATATTAATAAAAAATGTGCACAATCTGGCATCTGGTACCTGCAGCAAGCCAACACCGACAACCATCCCCCATGTGGGTGCCACACCCGCATGTACAAAGATGGTTCAACAGAGTCCAAGCTCCCAAAATACAAGGTCACTGAGAGAAATAACTGACCACAGTTAAAAACTTAAAAACACCAAGACAGATACCCAAAAGAAAGTGAGATTTTCTACAATTCTAAAACAATCCATTTTCACTTTGTCAATAAAGCGGAGCAGTTCACATCTGTGCTGGTTTTCAATCGGCCACCAACTTTCAGATTCCTCTTCATGCTATTCACACTCTTTCTGACTGGGCTGCTCCCTCCTCTCCCCTCAGGCGCTTTTCTTTCTTTCCCACCTTTACTTCCTATTGGAGCAGCATTTTAGGTTTCTTACTTATCAAGTTTAAATGGCTTCCTTAATGTCACCTGGGTGCTCTTCACTCAGATGTGCACTTGTATCAGTGGGTGAAGGAAGAAAGGCAGTGACATGTTAACACAGAATACCACTGTCAGGGAGGGGACAGGGTCTCATTGGGTTTTGATGCTGGCTCAGGTATGACTTCACATTTATGTCCTGGTGGCATTAGAAAAGGATCTGTGATTGTAACTTTTCTCACAGATACCGAGGGAGCATCCTTTTGGCTACTACTGAGGAATTTTTTCCTCCTTAACAAAAATCACCATTCTGGACAATCCACATGTGGAGTCATTTCAGATGAACAAAGGCGACTGTCAGTGATGCCACTGGGCACTCTCAGTCCTCGGTCTGCCTTCCACAAACAAGCCTGAAAGACTAAGTCTGACAGCACAGGTTTTAGGGGAGGATTATTTTCTTTCAAACAGACTTGGCGTATGTTTTTAAAATGACATCCTGCACATCTCTAATGATTTCATTTAGAGAAAATCTTTTGAAAAATCCACCCAATTAAGTGTTTAGTTAGGACTGGATAATCAGCATACAACTGCAGTTTACATTTTGGCTTCACATGCAATTATAGACAAGCAACACTAAAAAGCACTAAAACCCCTGCTCTGTTCAATCAAGGTTTCCCTTTACACAAGCCAATTCATAGATTACTTCTTATTTTCAATCCATTAAGTTGTAGTGCTGCTAAGCTGAACTGGGTAGAGTTTATACCAGTCCTTACCACTGTCCCATAGCCGTAGGGGACATGATCACAGAGGAGCTCAAAGCAAGGGGGAAAAATCATCACCTTTGAGGTTTGCTCTTAGATTTACTACAAGTTTTCTGCCTAAAAGTTTAAGGTAATATATTTTTAGAAAGATAGAAAAAAAAACTGAACAGATCTTTTAGTACTCAGGTTTAGCTATTTTGTGGTCAGCAAATTTTTATATCAGTGTTCCAGAAAACACAATTCTTTGAAGTTTTTAGCTGAACAACCAAAATTAGTCCCAAAGGCCGGCAAGGTTCTCTGCTCTGATCACAGATCTCCTCACTCACTGCCATGAGAGCAGGGGTCCCATGTCTCCTTCACAGCTGTGTCCCCAGAGGCCAGCACAGAGAAAGCATGTCCCCGTCCAATCCTTCCTTCTCTACCCCCCCACTTTATACTCTGTAGTATTCACGGTTCCCCAAGAACAGTGTGCCTTTACAAGTGTCCCCTAACCTGTCCGTAAGCCTTGCCATCACTGTCTACTTGGTAAACAACCACTCATCTCTAAAACCCAGCAGAGACTACCTTCTCCAGTAGGCCCTCCCTGGCACCTGCTCCAAAAAGGTGAACATGCCTGCCAGGTGCTATTTCTAGTCCTTGTGCATCTCTGTCCTGTCACCCTCATCATATGACATTAAAACAGTCTGTCTCTGTGTCTGCCTTATTAGCCTGTGACCCCTTCAGGTGAGCCAGGAACACACTGGGAAGTCAGTAGAGGTTTGCTAAGTTGAACTGCTCAAAAGAAAGGCGTTTCTGAATTACCCACCCATTTATAGAAATTAATGCGTTAAGAATTATTAAGCAAATTAAATAGTGGTTTGAAGGCAATTGGCAGTGAGCTCGGTTACTTTACCTGTAAGATCCTTTTCTCGAAACTGTATAATAGGGAGAACCATCGTGTCTGCCAACTGCTTAGCCAGCTCTGTATGGAGAACGTTAAGCTGAAAGAAAGAGAGTGCCCACTGAAGAACATGAGATGCATAATTACCTCCAGTCTCATCTCACCATGGGTTCACACTGGACACATCCATGTGTCACACAGCTCAGTCATACTCCTTTAGCAAATAAATACCCTTTGTCAGGCAGTGGGTGACAGGCCAGAGGGATGAGGAAATGGACACAAGGTGCAAGTGGTCTCCGGCTATGGTCTGCTCATGGTGCAGACCCTGCTTCTGTCCCTACAGAGACGACTCCACCGGGTGTCAGGCCTCTGCTCTTTAGAAAAGGACCTAAGAACAAGACGGCTGTTCGAATGTGAGCCTCCTCGGCGCATGATTTAAATAGCTCTTGATTCTTTCTCCCCGTCTGTCTCAAGGACTTATTAAATCTTGTCTTTGCAAATGGGCTAGGAGAAATATAAATCATCATCATCACTGCTACCATATTTGAGCACTTTTGTGTGTGCCAGCTTTATAAGCTTTCTACCGTTTTGTTCTCATCCACTCTGTGAGTTAGGTATTATTTTTTATCTCCATTTTAAGGACAGGCAAGTAACTCTCCAATCCAGAAATGAATAAACGACACAGTGGGATTTTAATCTAGGGTTGTTGGGATCCAACATCCATGTTCTTTCCACTACACAGTCTGGGATGTAGACTGCCCTTCACAGTCACTAAAGCTGCCAAACCCTCACGTGTCTGAGAGTCTGTACATCAGCAATGAACACAGTGAAAGGGATTCTCTCCCTGGGCCGCAGACCTGCAGATATTCTGGAAGAGTCTGGGGATTCCTGCTGTCATTCCTGGAGTAAACACACAGCCCAGCTTCCTTCAGCAGTGACGGCAGTCACACATGTGCATCACTCTTCTGCACAGGGATACCTAAGAGGTCTGGTCTCTCAGGGCTGTGACTGCACAGGTTGCTCTAAGGTCAACCATTTACCAGGCAAGGGAGCACTAGGGCCAGCTGTTAATGCTGTGCGATCCTATCTCTCAGTCAAGTCGAAGCAGAGCAGCTGTACTCTGGGAAACACAAGAAGACAGCTATGACAGTAAATGCCATTGGGATAGAATGTGTTTACTATTTTTCCAGAATAGCTTCAATAAGAAATATATTGGTTGGGCGCAGTGGCTCATGCTGTAATCCCAGCACTTTGGGAGGTCGAGGCTGGAGAATCATCTGAGGTTGGGAGTTAAAGACCAGCCTGAGCAATACAGCGAGATCTGTCTCCAAAAATAAAATAAAAAAGAAATGTACTGTTTGTCATTAATAGTTAATTGAATGAATGTCAGTAAGTACACCTACTTTGTGTTTGCCTTTATGCTTGAGGCTTTGATATTCACTATTTAATCTTTATAAATAGCCTGATTAAGTGGGCCTTCCTGCTGCTGCCATTTACAGATGAAAAAAACAAAACTTGAAGAGATTCAGTGGGTTTCTAATGGTCATGCACTTCAGGCATTGGCAAATTTCCTGGCTGCTTGTTTTCTTCCTAGGGACCAAGGAGTTTGTCAGTCACTCCTTGCTTTGGGGTTCTGAGATGTACAGGACAATCATCTAACCACAGGAGAGTGGAAAGAACATGGGCCACCTCTGAGCACCTTAGCATCATCACACAGAAGATGGGGTCACACCGTCTTCCTCATACAGGGACACGTGGGGAAGGACAGTGTCGTGAACAGAAATCCTCGGAGCAGAGCGCCAACAGACATATGCTCGGTGGTCTTGGTGCACTCCAAGGAAGTGGCCTAGAAACTTTGTTTTTGGTGAAATCACCACGCATGGAAACCTCTGTATGACCCACAGGGGAAGACCTCATTCCATAGCATCCTCTTATATGTAAGCAACATAGAATCTCTAGTTTTAGCTGAGTTTTTCTTTAATTTCTGAGTCAAATAATTTGTTATGAAAATTTTTCAACCTGGTTTAGGCCCAGGTAGAGAAAACTACCTTAAAAGCTACTCTGGGCTGGGTGCAGTGGCTCATGCCTATAATCCTAGCACATTGGGAGGCTGAGATGGGAGGATTACTTGAGCCCACGAGTTCCAGAGCAGCCTGGACAACAGAGCAAGACCTCATCTCTACAAAAAAATCAAAAGCCTGTAGTCCCAGCTACTCAGGAGGCTGAGGCAGAAGGATCATCTGTGCCCAGGAGGCTGTGGTGGCCGTGATGGTGCTATTGCACTCCAGCCTGGGCAACAAAGTTAGACTCTGACTCAAACACAAAAAACAAACAAACAAAAAACTACTTTTGTGCCAGGAGGCTGTGGTGGCTGTGATGGTGCTATTGCACTCCAGCCTGGGCAACAAAGTTAGACTCTGACTCAAACACAAAAAACAAACAAACAAAAAACTACTTTTGTCTTCTCAGATCTAAGCCACACCTGGGCCAGCAGCTTTCACTGTTAGGCCTCTCTGTAGAAGGCTTGTCTGAAGACTCTTTACAGTGCTAACCTTCCAGGATGCCCCAACGCTACCTATAGACTCACCTCCATCCTTCAGGAACACTCACTCCCCACTAAAAGAACCGTTACTGCTGCCCAAGAAAACATGGCTGTGAGTATACACTTCAAACTGGAAATCCTGGTTCTGAGGCTTCAACAACCAACACTTCCTTAGCAACTCTCTCTGACTCGAGAATACACACAGCCTCAGTGGGAGCAGTCTGCCGCTTCCTCCTGGGTGGCTTAGCCACTGTCAATTAAGAAAAATTATTCTCCCTGCCTTTCAAAAGGCACTTGTTGTTCCTTTATGATTACATTTTCTGTTTATCCCCCATCCATTTCAACATACATTTTAGAGAGAGCCACCGTAAGGAATGGGACATTGTGATATATGTGGTCTCTTCCCCAGCTCCTGGCAGAGTTCCAAAAAAGTCTGTAATGTTCTGAGCAGGAGGGGTGCACGGAACACTTTTTGGTACTTCGTCTTTGACCAAGTTCCCGACACACAAGGACCAAGTTCCCTTGGCACTTTCTGTGTGATGGAGCTCCTTTTGTTAATGAGGTAACTCTTGGTGGGTTTCAGGATGGGGGCTGCTCACCAGAAAGACCAAACCATGATTAGAAGCTTGGAGCTCTCTGCCTGCCCCCACCTTCTGGGAGGGCAGAGGTGCTGCAGACTGATCACATCCATACAGTGGCGCCTTCTTGAACAGTCCCTATAGTGCTCAGACCACCTCCCGGCTATTGAGCACAAGGTGGTGCGGGAGGGTGGCGTGCCCAGAGGGCACAGAAGCACCACACCCTTCCTCCATACCTTCCCTATGTACTGCTTCACCTGGCAGTTCATCCGTATCCTCTGTAATACCCTTTTTAATAAACTGGTAAATGTAAGAAAGTGCTTCCCTGATGTGGGAGCCATGCTAGCAAACGGTCAAACCCCAGGGTGTTATGTTGTGGGAACTCTCAGATTATAGCTGGTTGGTCAAAAGCTCCGGAGCCTGCATGTGCGATTGGCATCTGAAGTGAGGGGTGGTCTGGTGAGACTGAGCCCTTAACCTGTGGGATGTAAGGCTATCTCAAGGCAGAGGTGTCAACCCAGCTGGTGTCAGATAACTGCTTGGTGTAGGGAAAACCAAGACTTTTTGGTGACCCGAGTACTGAGTGTTTAAAGCAGAGTGGGGGAAAACAGTTTGTCTTTGTCCTACTATTCAGTGGGGTGGAGGACAAAGCTCAGT